TAAAAAAATGAAAAAAAAAAAAATTTAAAAAAAAGGGCAAAAAATCCCCCCCCCCCCCCCCATGGTTTCGTCCCTTTATCCAGGGTTCCAATACAAGAAAGAATCGATTCGGACTCGATCGGTTCTCGATTCTCAATTTCGGTTCCGAATTTATATTTTCAAAACCTCGGACTTCGATTTCGGTTCAAGTTCAGGTTAAAATGTTCGTCTCTAATCAGAAATGTGGACGAAATTTAGGGTTTTATTGTTGTTTCAATTTTTTTTTCTTGGAGTTGTTTTTACTTTGAATTTAATATGAGTAAAAAAAATAAAAGAACAAGAAGTTGGACAATGTCGCGTTAAAGAAAAAGTTGATTTTTCTGAATGTTTCATTTTAAGTAGCAAAGAATCGAATCGATGCAAAAAATAATTATAACTCAATTAAAAGTAAGTAAGAAGTTTGTGATGGCCAGTAATTTACAAGTTAAAAATATAGTGATTTTCAACGAGTCCAATTAATTTACTTTTATTTATCCTTCCACACACTACTTACCGCATAGTGTGCGCCCATGAATGCTTTCGCCCATGAATGCTTTGTTACGATGTCTTTAACTTCAGTAAAGTACATTTAGCCTGTATGACAAGGCCTTATTTTTAAATTCTTTTTTTGACGTACTCATTTTTAGGGACCGTTTATTTTTTTATTTTTGTAAAAATAAGAATGAAAAATATAGTCATTATGGACAGAGGGCAGATCTAGCCACTTGAGTGAGTTAGGGCGGAGCTTCGAGCGGCCATTGAGCGATCATCCAATATAGGAAAATTGTTTATTAATATTTAATTAATTTATATTAAAAGAATCTTCAATCAATATATAAATGCACTAAAATATAAAAAAAAATTATTTACATATGAAGATATAATTCTACACAACCCAAAATAATTAAGAATAACAATACATTTTTTGAATTATATATGCATGATCAAGTTTCAAATTTTATAAACTTAAACGAGACAACATGAAGTTTATACGTAAAGAGTGATTAAATGATAAATACAAGCTTTGGGTTTAGGCGAAACCTGTTCAAAATTTTTAAAACGGTGAATTTTAGATTTATTTTTTACCTTAAAAAAGAAAAGTGTTTTTCGAACACTTAAAAAAATAAAGTTCAGTATTTAAAATTGTTCAGATTTGAATTAAATTAATAAAATCTAACAATAAAAGTATATATTATAAAGCAATAATTTAAGTCAATAAATTTTTAAAACTGTGATTTTTAGAGCAATTTTTTTACCCCCAAAAAGAAAAATATTTTTCGAACTCTTAAAAGAATAAAAATCGACACTTAAATTGTCCAAATTTGAATTTTAAAAAGTAAATTGATAAAAAAATTACTTTTAATGAAATATATATTATGAAAGAGTTGACAAATTTCTTAAAGAAATTATTTTAGAAACAAATACTAATAATATAGTATTTTTTAGTTATTATTTATTGTGTAAAAAATCGATAGAAGAAGTGGAGGTTAGGGAAATTGAACTCCATGCCTATCAATTGCAAAGCTAACAATTTACCATATGAGCTATAGCATTTCTGTCCAAGAAAGTAAGCACTAATTTGATAGAGTTATTTAATTATGTAAAAAATTCAAAAGACGAAGTGGGAGGTGAGAGGAATCAAACTCCATGGCTCTCATTCGCAAAACAAGAGCACTACTGTTTCAACCACAACCCCATTGCTATGAATGGAGTGAAGTTAAATATATTTACTTTTTACATTTCATTTATATGCAAAATATTTTTCTCACCGGAGCGAAGACGGGCGGTCGCGTCGGCTCGCCAGGTGCTGGCTCCATCCCTGGTTATGGGTCCTATACAAGATATAAAAATTCAAATTTGATGGCTTGATGTGATAGATAACGGTCATATTTTTCATTTTAATGAGAAAAAAATGAGAACAAACAGGGGCTTAATAATACATTCACACAATAAAATATTTTATTCGATAAATTCCAAAAAATTTCCTACTTTTTAACTCCATGCTCTTCTAAAATTTACTATTAAAAACTCTATTTTCTAATAATAAAGTCACTTGTACGTCAATGTTCATACCTTATCCCCGGTGTCAAGATTTAATTGGTAAAAAAATAGTTTTTCTTAAACCTGCCCAATTGTGTGCTGTCACGTGACAGTACACCAGACACAATTATTTTCCTAAATAATTCAACATCGCTTTACACAATTTGTTTTGCAAGTCACTTTGTGTACCCAATTTAAACACGTTAACACATTTAGAGGGGTTTAATATTGACTCTTTAAAAATCACTTCCCTCTCATTTATTTTTAATTGTGCATTCTAAAAAATCATTTTTCACATTTTATTCTAATTTTTTTTTAATCACACATCCAAAAAATAAATAAATAAATTATTTTTCGAAAATCTCTATCAAACAAGCACGTAGTGTATTGACAGATGTCAGCCGTAACAATAGCGAAAGCAATTAATTATTTGTCACCTCTCGTTTTCAGTTCTTTTTATACTCGTCCACAAAAAAATTATTACATCTCTATATCTTCTCTGTCTATGTATCACAATGGATTCCAAATATGCAGCACCAATGGTACTCATCGAATGCATTTTGATCTTCTTCTTGTTTGGTCCTGCAAGAGCAGACTTGGCCAAAGACAGAGCGCAATGTGCCAATCAGTTAGTAGGCCTAGCGACGTGTCTTCCATATGTTAGTGGTGAAGCTAAAGCTCCAACAATGGACTGCTGTTCTGGATTTAAACAAGTTCTTCAGAAGAGCCCCGAATGCATCTGCATCTTGATCAAGGATAGAAATGATCCCAGTCTTGGCCTTAAAATCAATGCTACACTAGCTTTAAACCTTCCCACTCAGTGCCACGCACCCGGCGATATATCCGACTGCCCAAGTAAGTACCGGTAGTTAGCTTTTTTTTTTCCTTCTTAGTACTTTTTTAAGTACTATCCCCGTCCGCAACGGACAAAACAATTTTTAGGCTCAAGTGGAAGTAACTTTTAGTGAACTACTGTAAATCTGTGCGGATATTTTTCTGTTTAATGTTATTGCTTTTGGGGGCGGGATTAGGGTTTCATCCTTAACATTTTCCCGAAACACAAAAAAGGGCGTGCCGCTTGTGCAGTCGTTAATTTGTTTACAGGATCATACTAATGGCTTTAAATTTGATCCAGCTCTGCTGCATTTGGCACCAAACTCACCAGAAGCTAAGGAATTTCATGATTTTGCAAACAGTGGCAAAAAAAGTAACAGCACTGCAACTCCTGAGGGTGAGAATTGAACAAATTCTTATAAATATACCATATTTTTTAAGATCTAATTTTATTTTATATTTAAAAAAAAATTTCATGATTTTACTTAAAGGGAATCCCAGTGCCAGTAGCGAAGGAACGAGTGCAGATCAGAGGAGTGATGGAGGAAAAAGAAAGAAATGGCAAGGAACAAAAATGGCTTCTGCTTTGCTCTTACTGATCTTCATATATTAATCATCCTTTGGCCAGAAAATTTTTCCTTTTTTATGTTTATTTTAGTTGGTATGTTACATGTCTCTGTGCAATATTTTCTCTTCCTTCTCCCCGCCTCGAGTTAGAGCTCGTTTCGCCCCGTTTAAAACCATCTTTCTAAGTGTTTATTTGAGACCCAAAAAAAGGGGAATCGCATGCCAAAAAATGGGGCAGAACTTGCTGGTAGTTCCTTCTCATTCGTGTTCTTGATCTGTCTTTTTTTAGTCCATAGGAAGCTATAAACAGTGCTTTATATATGTATGTATTTTGAATTCTGCTTGTCTAAAACAACTACGCTACACTAACGGAATGAGGATGACAGACTCTCTGACCGAACATTTACAATAGGCATGTGAGAGGATGTCAAACTGCATGTCACCCTTTTTCTGTTAACAATCGAGCTAACTGTACAGGTCACTCACACGTGTAAAAGGATAGGTGAATTTTATTTTTTTTAATTAATCACTCACCTCGACATGTGTCTGGCCTATACAGTTAGAATTAATCTTTCTGTCAAATTAATTTAATTCTTTCTAGATACATACTTTTTAACTAGTTTGATATAATAGATGGTAAGATATATGTAAAATATTCATTTATTGTATTGTCTAATTCGCATCACTAGACAGGTTTTGCATATGAAACTTAAGTGGCCATCTTTGGAATGCGTTACAACTAAACTTTACAGACCAATCGAGCACTCGCTTGATACTGTATGGAATTGGACATTATAAAGATTTTCAATTTCAACCTTGATTAGGGACCAAAAACTTCGAAATTCTACACTAAATACTAGGGTTGGACAAAACATTCGAATCGAACTGAACTGAGCGATTCTTCTTAAGTTAAATACCCGAACGGTCGGGTATTTGAATTGAGAATCGATTAGTTTGGTTCATATCTCGATTCTAGATCAAGAATCAAAAAATCAAATCTCGCTAATTTTTTTAATTAATTTATTTCAAATAAGCAAAATTATTTTATTTTTTTCTTAATAAATTTGCTAACTTATTAATTTAGTTCAAAGACAATTTAATCAAATTGATCTAAGTTTTATCGAAATCTGTTATTATACCGTAATACCAATTCTACCGTTCTGGAGAAATCGAATTAATGTCGACAATGTTCTTAATTATTTTAAGCTCGCTATCTTCTTCTTTATATGATTTTTACAATCAAATTTATGAAAAACTCAACAAAAAGGGACGTAAAAGACACATAAAATTGGACTATGTTATTTTGTAAGAGTTAAGATTGAACGTATCAATAGTTAAATTAATGTAATTTTTTAAATATTAAAAAATTAATTATAATGCAGAACTTGGGAATCGAACCGAATCGAATCGAGCTGAATCGAGTGAAACCGAACCTGAATATGTCCAAATTTTCAAAACTAAATTTGGACCCAACGGTTCCACTTATTAAATATTCAAAAAATTTCAAGTCCGATTCGATTCTCGTTAGAACCAAATCGAATCGAACAATGTCCAACTCTATTAAATACACTCCTTAAGTCTAATACTTTTAACAATTGGAGTCGAGAAGGTCGGTCCCTACTTCCGAAAAAAGCTCATTCCTAAGGGGACACTTAATTAAGATTTCAATGAATTTTAAATGTCTTTATAGATGTTACGGCTAAAATTTAATGGACTACTGTAGTGATGTGTAGAAACGCGACGAACACAATAATAGAACACGTTAATTTATGTAAAATACTAGGAATTGGCAATCAAAACTTTTAATTCTCGCATAACTGTCGTAAATAGATTTAATCAACATACGACAATTCCGCAGAATACCAATACAGATGTTTTTGGACTGCATCAAATAGGGTCCAAGGACTTTCCATGTCAAATATCTTTGTCTAAATACTAAATTCATCGTTTTTATAAGTAATTCAGTTTTTGAAATTCATTTAGACGAGACATTGTTTGCCGAAGATTTTTTTTTTTTTTTTTTTTATATTTTTTTCTTCAAAACTATTTTCAAATACATGTTCTATGAGATCCACAATCTTTTTCCACTTTTTATCTACACATTCTTTGAAAGAAAATTTTTATTCTAAAACATTTTGTTCCAAACAAGCTCTAAAGGGGGTGTATTCAATTGAAACTTTTAATAATTTTTTGGAATTTAAAAAGTTAAGTGGTATTCAATGTAGATTTTTTGATATTCGATTAAAACTTTTTAGAAATCTTTATAAGTTTAGGGGTATTCAAATTTTAATAACTTTTAGAGATTTTAATAAATGTCTTTGAAGTACTAACTTTAAAAAAAAAAAAAAAAGTAATAATATAAACTCTCAAAATTTGTCTCTCATTAATCACGAAATTTTGAGAGACTTATATATATGGAAATGATCTCCTAAGGATCGATGCTTAACTTATGTTAAGTATCGTGATATGGTACACCATTTAATTTGTGAATAAATCAATTATAGGTCTCATATATTTAATGATTCACCAATTAAATCGCGTGTCATGTCACCGATGCTTAGGAGATCATTCATGTATATATATGTATATGTGTATATATATATGATTAAAATTTTTTTTTATTAATTATATTTATTATCATTTATCTTTCTCTCTTTTATTGTTTATCTCTATCTTGTATGAAAAAATTAAATTGGATTCTAGTAAATTTTCCTTTTCTCATTCAATTTCTTTTTGTGAAAAATATCTACTTTTTTATTAAATTAATTTTAAATGAAAAATTTATAATTAAATTTAAATATATTTATTTTTAAAATTATATTATATTAATAATATTAAATATTAAATTTATTGTGTTATCATACATATAATGATGGCAAAAAAATCCTTCCTTCCTCGCGCTCATCCTGACGAGTTGGCGGGGGGTAACTCCCCGCCCCATGAAGAGGAAAAAAATTACAAATAATTTTATTTTTGGACAATTCACCTGTTAAAAATCCATTTTAAATTTGTACTTTATTCTAAATAATAGCATAACTCAAAAATTTGAAAATGTATAATAAAAATAAAATAAAAAGGGCAACAAATGGGGCAAGCCACCCCCCGCCTAACTGGGCGGAGCAGGGCCTTAACCCGACCTCCTGCCATCCCTACAATTATATATATAATTTTGGTTATTATTTATTAAGGTCTTAAAATTTTTTTTTTTTTATATGAGAAAAAAAATGGGAATTGTGGAAACCAACACCCTGTATGTGAGAATATTACACATTTGTAGTAGGTTCATGTGAATTCCATTTCAAATGAAAGTTTTCAAGTCTTTTAAATTCTATAGAAGTCTAAAAAAAAATTAAAATGAAAGTCCATAGAAATCTGCGAAAGACTTCCACTGATTTCATACAAATTTATAAAAGATTCATGAAATCCACAGAAGTCGTCACTTAAAAAAAAAGTCCGTCAAAATCTTCAAAAATTCTAATTAATACACCCCTTAAGACTCATCTTTTTGCATTTTTCAAATTCATTTAATTTGAAGATATAGTATTTTGAATGTTTACTGTCACAACTAAAATAAATAAAATTTTAATTTTCTTTTCTCTTAAAACTTTATCAATTGCGGTCGAGAAGGTCACTCCAGATTTGTTCGAGCCACATTTTTTGAATTAATAAATTTTGAAATAGTGAACTTTTGGAAAATGTATGGTTAAAAAGTAGGAATTTTTTTCTAATTTACATATATAATTATTTTATTGAAAGAATGTGTAATTGAAAACAAGTTTGAAAAACAAAAAAATCAAAAGAAGAAGAAGAGTTACATTACAGGGCTAAAATGTTGTATCATCAGTCCGCGGAAGGATCAGTTAGCCCTAGAATTAAATGGGTCAGCCTGATATTGAATTGAAGCTTCCTGGAATATGGATTGACATTTGAATCGAAAAGGCCCATTGAGTGGATTTTTTAAATTTATTTTTTAAATATAATTATACATAAGTAAACCTAATTCCTGTAATTCATAAAAAATGTTAATTGTTAGTGAAAAATTAAAATACCATTTTTAAATGTTAAAGATATTTAAAACAATTGTAAAAGGGTGTAAATGTAAAATATTATTTTTCAATAAAAAAGATGTATTTATGAAAGAAGAAGAAATTGTTGAAGGGGATATTTTTAATTTTGTTGAAGAAAAGTATGATAGTTTTGACGTTATCTCCCCAACCCAATTAGACTCGATCTCATGTCGTAAATGTGTTAAGTTTTCATTCTTATCACTTAAGCTAATCTTGATTTCAAAATGTATGGTTTTTAAAACTATTACGTAGATTTTACTAACAGAAGAGGTTAAACGACAATCTAGTTAATAAATAACTTAATTGTTACATCAATTTTTATTGATCAAATTAATAGACAATTATCGAACAATTAATTAAAATAAGGTTTTCTTGTGAAACAAAATGAAATTGGGTAACTAACTTCGATTTAGAGTAACCATTAGTGAAATCTGAAACTTGGTAGCTCCATTTCTTTCATTGGAAAAATTATAATTCATAAGAAATAGCTAAAAATCACTGAAGACCAATCAACTTCAGCAAAATCTCATTTTAGTCACTTAATTTTTTTCTGGTTCCAAATTCGACGCCCGAGTTTGAAAATTGTTTCAATTAAAGTCGCATATCATATAACCATGTTCGTACCATTAACTAGAGTCTTAAAGTTCGCACGTGGTCAACTATTTTTACTAAAAGTTGAGTAACTTAAATGAAATTTCACTTGGAATTTCAATAACAATGACGTCCAATTGAACGAGATATTGCATTAATAATGTTGTCTTTTTTACCTTGAAAAAATGGATAGACTTTTGTAACCATACAGTGAAACATGAAACCCCACAAAAGCAAACCTCCACCGCCAATTTCAAGAAAAGGACGTATTGCCACTTCTTTCCAAATTTCAAGCCCTCTAATTCCAATAAAATTGTCAAATTTCTAAACAGTAATTCCAACAATTCCTCAATAAAATAAAATATCCAATACCATGGCGTCGGGTAAATTTCATCTTATGTCACCAAACGTTTAATGAAATTTCAATTGGATCATTAAATTTAATTTAATTTCAAATTTCACCTAGTCCACCATATTAAGCCACTTATCGTCCCACAAAACTAACAAAAACTCCTTACTCTTAATCTGAAATAAATAGGGGCAAAAAAATTAAACATTTTCCCTTACCTTCACCTCACGAGCTCACTACTTATACAAAGATTGATTTTTATGCATTAATCAATTTCTAAAAGGTCCTATCTTATTGAGTAGGTCTTAGTTGATAATCACATTCTACTTGATATTCCACATAATCAATACTTATAAATAAAAGGGCCATGCTATACGTCCAGGGTGCCAAATGGCGCCCTTGTCTGTCCAGGGCCCATAATCAAATTATACCTGATATTCCTCATAATCAATACTTACAAATGAAAGGGCCATGCTATACGTCCAGGGTGTCAAATGGCGCCCCTGTCTGTCCATGGCCCATGTGGCCCTGGACAAGTATCTTTATCCGAAATGAAAATGGTTAAACAATGATAATGTCAATTTCTTAAATTAAAAAGTCAATATATATATATATATATATATATTTCAACACTTTTATTATGAGGTGTTGTAGCAGTAAGCAGAGTGATGGTTAATCAAGAAATTTTCATTAATTTGAAATTTGACAAGTGAAATTTGAAATTAAATTCTTAATCGATTGAGAATTGGGTGACCTTAGATGAAATTTTCTCCATTTCAGTCCCTATATAAATTCGCAACAATGCACACCTACCGATCAAAGCAAAAATGGAGTCAAATTCCAAGTTGAAACTGTCCTTCTTCTTCTTCTTCTTCTTCTTCTTCTTCTTCTCTCTCCTCTCTCTCTCTTGTTCATCTCAAATTCTCTCTACAAACACCACACCTACAGTATACGAAGTCCTCGAAAAATTCGACCTTCCAAGAGGGCTCTTGCCAGATTCAGTCACTTCCTACACACTCTCAGACGATGGCAAATTTGAAGTCAACCTGAAGAAACCGTGCTACATACACTTTGATTATTTGGTTTATTATGAAAAAAAGATTACTGGGAAACTGAGTATAGGGTCAATCTCTGATTTGAAGGGCATTCAGGTTAAGAGGTTCTTATTTTGGTTTAATGTTGACGAGATCAAGGTTGACTTGCCGCCTTCCGATAGTATTTACTTCACTGTTGGGTTTATTAACAAGGAACTTGATGTGGATCAGTTCTTGACTGTTCATTCTTGCAAAGATAAGGCTTTATCGGCTCTGCCTTGCGGCGGCGGCGGTAGTGGGCGACAGTCTTTGAAGAAGATTTTTCAGGTATATTAAAAAATTTTAATGGGATTTTCTTGATGACTATCAAATTTTTTTGGGAAAGATGACTGATCTTTATGCTTTCTTTATGATTAATTAGTTTCTTGTTATCAATTTTTGTCATTTCTTGTTAAGAGGCGGATTATCTACATGTATGATATATGCTTTTCCATCTGAAATTGGATTTCGGGGTCTGATTTACCGATTTAGTTATATGATTCAGATTACGGTGGAAATACCCACATGTTCTGTTTGATTAATCACTTTGTTCAACTAGACAATTTAGGCGCCTTAATATTCTTACTGTATATAAAGAACTTTTAGTGGCCAGTACTTGACACACACAGAGATATGAGGGGGGTTATATCACTTTTGTTGAATCAGTATAATTCAGGGAATTGGGGAGTGCTTTGCCCGTTTTCGTTTGAGGATTTAATCCAAAAGAGGATTTTGGGAAGGTAGTTGGGAAAAAATTATATGGATTTTTCTTAATTATAGCGAGAAGTCTTCTTTTTCTCTGATATAAGGAGATCTCTTTCCAAGCCATGAGCGATCTGAGGTATTAGTGTTTGTTCAATTACTGTAAGGATTGCATTCAAATTAGGGGTCTGGGTTAGTTAATCATTAAAGTTTCTTTACTCTTTACCTTTTCTTTGCTTTCTAATGGTATTGTATTCTTATGTCGCCTTTACGGCTACTGTTATTGGATTTCTGATTAGTGGGATTTTCCTCGTTGTTACAGAAAGTTTTTTAGTTGATCTTACTATGTATACAAGAACTTACGAAGCAGTCATTTTGTGCAATATGGAAATTGAGCAAGTATTGTGTTGGCAGATTTATGTCTAAAGTTTCAATTGGGAGTTTATTTATCCAAAACAAAATGAGAACTTATTTGCGAGTTGATTTCATTTATGTATAACTGTATGAAATGGTTAACTAACAAACATGATAGTGCATTTGTGTCTCGTGTTCTCGAGTTTGCGACATTATTTTTAAGTAAATTTTGAACTTTCCCTTCGTCTGTGCATATTCATGATGAAGTTTGAGGGTTATAACTATAGAATTGGTGTAGTAGTTGTCTCTTTAGTTGATGTATAATTAGATGCAGATGAGAGTAAAGAAAGGTAACCAGGAATTTCAGATTTATAACCTTGTTATATTTTTCAAGATATTTTATGGCAGATGAGAGATTTCATCGGTATTAGAGCAAGATTCTATCCTTTGTAACATAGTAATTGTTGATTTAGTTTTTACCGTTCAGTTAACTCATTCAACTTCACCTCGTTTACTTTCTTGAAATTACAGATTCCAACTCCTTTGGATGATATCCCAATGCTCATGACGGAATAGTCTATGCCAATTATGTGTCTCATCCGAGGAAACAGAGCATAATCATGTAGAATACTTGGGATCCTATGTAGTTTAACTGTATATGCAAGGACATGTAATATACTATATGCCATGGAATGTACGTTGTATTGGGGGAAAAAACAAGGAATTTGCTTTAAATGTACTATGATCTACTTGCGTGCTATCTGAATAGTCAATTACCGAAAATAACTAGAAATGTCGTTTGCGCATTTTTTTTTTTTCTGCATCGGTTGTTTCCTATTTATTCTTTTTGTATCTTGCCAACATTATGACCCGAAACCAAGCTCATGATGAGGGAACAGAACATTTCTAACAGCCCCCATATAATCAACTTCTCTGCAAGGTGTACATCTAAAAGAACATGCACAAAAAGGGGTGAAAAATGCATACAAGAGAAAAGTGGTGCTAAGTATAATATTACAACAGCATCAAAAGTTAAAAACGGTCGACGAAATATCCTGATGGGGATCTGCAGAAGGAAT